GCGGTGTGCGGTAGTCGACCTTTGTGGTGAGGTACTCCTCGGCGACCTTCCGCCAGTTCTTCCACTCCATGACAATCTCCTCGCAGTCGAGCAGCATTAGACCGAAGAGGACACCAGTCGGCAGTCCGCCACGCTCCTGGCCATCGTGGACCTGCAGCGACTCGCGGATGTCCATGGGCAGGGTCGCGTCAAGCTCGTGCTCCAGCTCGTTGACGTCGTTGGATGTGCAGCCCTCGCACATGTTGTCGAAGAGCTCTTGGTAGTGGTCCTCGACCCAGCGGTCGATGCGCCGCCACGAGTGGCTGACAGGCGGCGGCGGGGGCAGGCCCTCGTTGAAGTCCTGCATGGGGATCTGGCCGTTGGCGCCCTGGGGGAACGAGTCCGAGTCCATGGTGGCCTGGCGGCTGAGGGAGCCGCGCATGCCGGGCGAGTAGGGGGAGCTGGGGGACATGGGGCCCTTGGGGGAGCCGATGAAGCCATTGCTCGTCGCGAGCTCGTCGTGCTGGTAGGGCGAGTGCAGGTCGGTGCGGGACTCGGCGCCACTGGCCGTGATGGAGGTGAGGGCGGCGTGGCGGCTCTGGGGGATGGGGATGTGCCGGCCGGTGCGGTAGGGCGAGTCGTGCGAGGCGTGGCGGTCGTACGACGTCATCGTGTGCCAGAAGTCCTTCAAGGACGCGGTGATTCTGCGCTGCTGTTAGCCAGGTGCTGTCAGGTGCTGCGCGGGGGAGCGGCGCCAGTAAGTCCGGGGGCTCGTACTGTTGTGCCATGGCGGTGGTGGTGAGCGAGGGAGCGCGGAACAGCGAAAAGAGCGTGAGGGTGCGCTCTGCGCTGGCGGGCTGTAAGTGTTCCGGGGCTCAGCGAGTGTCGGGCGGCTTGGAGCGCTGGGGGAGTCTTGTAGCTGCGTCGGCGTGGCAGGAGCTTGAATTGGAATCGAGAAAACGGATTGCAGGTGACGTTAAGGGGTGCCGACACGCCAAGACAAAGCTCGACCGGGATGGCCCTGGACCGATTGACGAGCGTTGAATGCGCACTGCTGGCCCACTGCAGGACTGCTTCAGGACAGGAGCACGCCAAACCGTAGGGTGAATGATTACAAGTCTACAACAGTAGTGTCGTGGTGCGGTCGTGAGGACGCTGGTTGTGTTGTTGTTATGGTTCGTCGCCTGCATAACAAAGCCCTGCAACCACTCAACGCCGCCGCTCCCTCCTCTCCTCACTCCACTCCCCTCTCCTCTCCGTCACTTCGGAGCCAGCTTGAATTACCCCCGGCCTCGCGTTTATTAATAGCGCTTAACACCCCTAGGTATCGCCGTTGCCACCCAGTATCACCACCACCAGACATCACTTCCTTTTACACAACCAACAGCTTGCCGTGGCCAATTCACTCCCTCCCCTAACCCCCATGCAGCCCATTTTCGCCGCCTCACGTCGGCGCCGTTCGTCCAACCGTGGGCCTGTTTCAGACTTGGGCGGCGTCGTGCGCGCCAACTAGAGGCTTTGCCGGGTGGCTTCGCTTGCTTAGCTTGTTATCGCTCCCTTCCCCGTTAGGAGGTGCAGCTGCATCTCTGGCGTCGTCCAGGCGGTGTAAAACGAAACAGAGCCACTTTTATGCTCTCGCCGTGTCTTGGGAAAAACAATCCCACCTCCGACACTATGCTCAGACACTATGCTCAAACGCGCCAGCTCGGTCAAACGCTTCGGCCACGTACAACAAGCAATTTCTAGCAGGTTCCAAAGCTGTAGATAAGGCTGACCGGCGTGGCTTGATGCGCGCCTTGCTATTCCGTCTTCACTCACCAGCTACCGCATCCTTCGACGCAGATAATGCGCTCCCCCCGCTAAGATCTCCAATTTCCGCCATAATCTCCCAAAGGGTCCAGCTAATGTCGGTCCATGATGCGGTCAGCAGAGTTCATGACGTAGACCGATAGTCGGCAAGCACGTATTGCACATGTAAGATTGACGGCCATGCACTGTGTCGAGCGAATGCGAGTGATCAAGTGTAGCCTTGGATTGCGTTTCAGATTAACATGCCGGCGAATTCCGCTACACTGTGATATGTAGCCCTGATTGCGACGCAGCCTTAGCATCCGTCATGTACTACCAGAGCCCGTCCTTGAACTTTGTACCCCGCCAAGTGCCTCCTCCTCCACTAGTAAAGCTTCGTACGACACCCCTTCGAATCACATTCTTGCCGCGCAACCGGGAACATGCGTTTGTGCGAAATTCGCCGTGAGCAGCAGCGGGGTGCGGGGGTCCTGTGAGGCTGTTTGCTCATACTCCTATTTTTAGGCCCCGCCCTCTCTCGCCACATCGCATGGTAACCGATGTGGCTATTGTGGATACATTGTTCTTCCTCCATCGCAACCTCTGACCTCGCCGCTCGATCTGCGACGTTCAGTTTGGCTTCGGGGATTTGCCGCACTAGTTGGCCTGATCTACCCCAGAGTCGTATTGCCCGCCGCGTGGGTCGGATACGAGCTGATGCGCGTTGGGTAAGCGGCCTTCGTCCCGACCCGGCATGTAGTTGGGAGGCGCGGCTCCGTCTGCTTCTGACGCTTTTTCCTGACGCCGGGCTTAATTCTTGGGATGCTTTATGTTGATATTTGGGTGAGTCAGTATCATAGATGAATTCCTTGAGGTTGATGCTGTGTGGAACCGCTCTGCTCGTATAGCTAGAGCGCTGCGCTAACCTAATGTCTTGCCCAAAAACTGATTGAGCTCCTCCTGCAGCGGTAGCACAATATTCTCAACTGCAGCTTGGAGGCAGTCGGCATTTTGTAAGCTAGCCATGGGACTGCTGCAGTATCCGATTGCACTTTGAAACGCAGCAGACATCTCTTCAGCCTCATTGCGTGACCAAGTATGCACTAAGGTAAGCATTTTCCACTGTTCTGGCACTTGTGCGTTTGCAACTTCGTCTTCAATCTCAGATTTCCGGTATTTCTCGGCTGTTGTGCCGAAGTAGAGCTCAAGTAGTGCTACGGCCAGCGCGAGGAGTATGTTGTTCTCGAAAGTCACTGGCTTCGGTTTCTTCTCTCCGTCTTTTGGAATATCGAAAAGGCTTGGAGCGAGATATGGGCGGGTGATGTCGATTGGACGAGTAGGATCTGACGTCCGATGGAAGAAGATGTCCCGCGCAGTCCATTTGCTAGCGAGCCATGGAGTTGAGTTCAGGTAGAGTATGCTGGACGCCAAGGTCAAAGCTAGGCTGTACCTCTCTTTCTTACTCAGCTTGGATTTCTTTCCGTTGATCATTGGCGGACGTTCTAATAAGGTCTCGAGCGATATCAACTCTGTACTGGGCATGTATGCGTCTGCGCTGTCAACTGAGTAGGCGCCTCGTAGTTTGCTCTTGCTGTTCAATGAGAAGCCGATAGTCGAAGACGTCTTGTGTAGTTGCTGGATCGATGCACACAAGTCGCTGACTTCTTCATAAGAAGGTAAGGAACTTGTTCCGGGATCTAAGACTGCGTATGGAGGAAGCGATCCGAAGCTGACGCTCTTTGTTACCCTGGGTTTGGGAGAGGGCATCGGTGTGAGACAGCCTTCCTCTTCTTCGTCGTCCACATGGAATTCAGCAGCCTGAAATAGCCAGGGCGCTCCATGGCTATCCGACGAGATGGTCGAAAAAGAAACATTGAAACTTGTTTTCGCCGAATTGTACATTTTGTGATATTTCGACGCGAATACGCTCTCGCGGGGCTCAAGCTGCAGGCTCGCCGTATGAGAAGACTTGCAAGCGCATGACCAGCACAAGTTGAGCGACTCGTGTAAAATCTTGGCATATCGTTGTAGCTTTTGTAAGCGCGTAGCGTATGACGGCTTCGTAGCCTTGTGGAATGTTTCTATCTTTTCGCTCTTTTCCGTGAATCTTTCCAGCTGTCGATTGCACTCGTCAAGTTCATCGAGAAGCCCTTTGACGCTCTTTTTGTTCATGGCGAACTTTACGCGCTTGCCAAATTCGAATGTGTCGTCAGCCTTCTTAGGATGTGCGGCGAGGATTGCCTCGAGATCGTTTCGTGTAAGCTCAGCCGCTTTTTCCAGATCCAATTTGCTTGCGATTTTGGTCATTATCCTCGCTATCTCCGTCATCGTGTTCTGATAGGACTTGTAGGTGTTTTGGAGCTTCTCCTGAAGCGCTGTCTCCTTGCTCTTCCATAGCTCTAGTGAAGCCCTAGGATCGGTTGACATCTTCAGCCATTCGGCATCTGTCGTGATGGATCCGAAGAGAATCTGGATGGTTTGATTGAATTGGTCATGCTGAGCTCCCAGTTTTCTGATAAGTTTGGGCAGTTCCTTGTCCCATTTCAAGAAGCCCTTGATGGGATCGAGTCCTTCCTTGTAGGACGTTATTGCTAGCTCGCGGTTAGCCCGTTTTTGCTATGTATCACCCGCTATCAGGACGCAATTTACCCTGTATAATCAATGGCAGGGCGCCAAGTACGAGGCCAGCGACCTCAATGCCGCTCATCGTCGCGATTGCCTGTTCTTCGAATCAATGTCGATATCGCGTGTCATTGGTGGGTGACGGAAGGAACGAGGGCCGAGCGGGGTTCAGGGCTGTCAGGCAATCACGCGAAGAACACGACTTCCAGCTAAAGCATAATGACTGTATCGCGAGCGATAAGGCAGAGGAGACATGAGTTACTCATTTCGCGAGCAACAGGAGTTTACGACAGCAGAAGGTAACACTGCCCGCGAGGCGCCTGAACTGCGCCCCCACTATCCTGAAAGATCCTAGCATCGCAGTCTTCAGGCTGCACGCTGACAACACGAGTGCTGACTAACCGCCTACCATCTACCATCCCATTGCAGTCCAGGTTATAGTAACAAGAGCATCTGCCTGCCGTCCTTTCGTCGGCATCAACGACTCAGTTGGTCTGGGCTACCAGTAGCTCAGCGCATCAACAACCACTCCAGCGTTGGGGTCGTGCGATCGCCGCCGCACTTCAAGGCTCCCCTCGCTTGCGCCTGCTCCGACATGCCGAGCGCCCATAATGTCGACTCTTAGGCTTGCGACAGCTTCCAACGTACGCGCTTTCCAGATACTGACCGAAGCTCTTAACGCAAGCAACGGGAAGTGGTCACAATGGATTGAAAGCGAAACACTCGACGATGAGGTCGGAAGATTCAGAGTGTGGGCTGGCAATTTGGGAGCGTTGCAGAAAGGCCACAGCTCGCTCGACTACAGACTGCGCGGCTCCCCAGTCTTATTCAGCAGTGCCCTCAGACTACTGAATGAGCTTGAGCAAAATCTGAATGAAACATATGCTATCGTTTCTGAGGCGCGCCTGCCTTACGAACAGCAAACGCCATCGGAGGGTTCTGACGATGATAGCGACCGTGGTTCGTCCAGCGAGGAAGAGGAACACGACTCTGACAGCGACGAGCCTAGAAGCGAGTTGCGGATGAGATATGAAGAAATCGTGGATATCATCGACAACCTCTACAAGCTCAGCGTCCGCATCAGGACACCGACCGTACGCTCAAGATCGCTCAAAGCCTCTGCCTATACGCCAGTGGATCCAGAGACTGGTGTGGATATCCTCGGTGTGTACGCTGAACTGGATCGAAAGCATGTTCGAGAGCTACTCTCGCAGCTAAGGAAGACGCATCCTGCACAGAATGAGGAAGATCGGGACTTCTTGACTGAGCGGTTGAGCTCTTCAATCACATTGCGCAGGCGGCATTTCAAGTATTGGAAGCGTCGTAAGTTCGACAAGTGATATTGCTGCATCTTGCACAGTCTGACGACAATAGATCGTGATAAGCTGGGCGCTTCCGCAGATTCCGAAGACATAGCAGATGCTGGCAAACCTACAGCAAATGAAGCGCCAGCTCCGATGCGACATGACACTCTTGAAGCTCACCCAGTACGTACTATTCCATCAGCTGTTTCCTAACGCACTATTTTTAACGTGATCTAACTTCGGTCTTAGCCGATGCCAACGATCAATACTCCAAAGCCGACACCGAGTCAAAAGACCGGGAAAACCTTACTATCTGGTACAGAGGCGACCCATCATCATCAATCTCTAGACGATATCGTGGACACCAAATCTGTGACGAGCTACGCAGTCACCGTAAAAGACTTGGACGGAAAAGGCATCGATCTACCGCCCCCTCCAAAGGCTGCTACCTGCGACAAAGACTTCGAGTGCCCATACTGTTGGATCGTCTGCCCTGCACGATATGGCAAAGGCCGAGCATGGAAAACACATCTGCTACAAGACCTCCAGCCGTACATTTGTACACACCGGGACTGCGAGAGTTCCGAACTGCTCTTCCGTAGTCGTCGAGAGTGGGCGGAACACGAAGCAACTCATCGGAAGCTTTGGCGCTGCCCTGAACATGTAAACGCCTTATACAACACCCAAGCTGGTCTTGAGAATCACCTTCGGCAGGAACATATCGGTAGCTTCCCTGACGATCAGATAGCTATCATGGCTAAGATCGGAGAGACCATAGCCGTGGACTCGCGGGAGAAGTGCCCGATATGTTTCGTTCCCACGGCTACTGAAGGCTTGGGCGACCTGCAGAGCCACATTGCCAATCATTTGGAGCGCCTCGCTACTTTTGCTCTGCCCCATGGCAGAGAAGATGATGAAGACAGTGCAAGCAGTGTCGCAAGCCGTGGGAGCTCTAACTCTCAATCCTTGCCCGAGTCGATAAGTACCGGTTCAAGCAATGAGATGGTCGCACTCAACCGAGATCTGGAAACTGAGCAGTCTGTTGAGACGGAGCTCAATGAGGAAGACCGCCTGCTGATACAACTCAAGGAAGAAGAGCACTTGCTATGGACGGAGGTCGCAGCGCGCTTCCAGGAGACCTTCGGCGGAATTTACCGTATACCCGTACTCCAGCTCCGTCTTAAGCGACTAAGAGACGAGAGGTTCAAGCGAGATCTTGAGTCTGTGATTAGTGAGGAAGACCTCCTACTACTACAGCTCGGGGACACAGAGAACGTGTCTTGGGAGGATATCACAGCGCGCTTCCAGAAAGCCTTTGGCAAAGAGTACATAACACCTAGATTCCAGCCTCGAATTGAGCGTCTATACAAGGGACCGAGCAAGCAGTCACCGCAGTCAGTCGGGACCAGCCCAGGTTTGCTGTCCGCAGAGATGCTACAGCAACTTCCAGACGAAAGTCAAAATCGATTGGCAATGTTTTCAAATCAAGTGGACGACCTGGACGACTCGGAAGACGAGCTACCCGAAAATGAACAGACTGATGAGAACATATTGCCCGAGCACCAGAAACATCTGGAAGAACGGGAGGCGTTTAGACAACACGTCTCATCGTTACCAGGAGTTCTATCGGTACGATTCTATCGCGGCTACGGCTCATGGACTGGCCTTATCACGTTCGCCGATGATCTGGTGGGCGAACAAGCAACTGCGCTGTATGACTATCAACGATTCCCCAACGTTGTGTTCAAGAGTAAAAAGAACAAAAGCAAGTGGACATTCACCAGAACCGCTGGCACGAGCAGTAAGTCAATGTCTAGATGAGATTCACGAAAGCTTGCAATATAAACGGCATACTGACGAACTTTCGCTGTAGAGAAGGACGGCTCCTTCGTCCGCCAGCCAACAGTGGATACACAGACCACGGAAGAAGCCGACATTCTTCCATCCGGGTCTGACACGTATGACGAAGAAGTTGAAGAATCAAGCAGACAACCAATCATCACGACTGCCGAGATCCCCACGTTACGCTCGCTTTATCAGTCCAGGCGGCTGTTGCAGCGCGATCAGAGCTTTGCGCCAAACGATGCTTACAATCAGATGATCTCGTTCTGTCATTACGACTTAACGAGATTGAGGGTGGATGCCATCGTCAGCAATGCTTCAGGTAACTTCCAGGCCAATCCTGATCCCGATTCTCTGCATCACGCTATCTATAAAGCCGGCGGTTCAGGTCTCAGAGAAGAGGCGAGATCAAAAGCCAAGGTCAAAGTGGGCCAGGTCGAGCTCACGCACGGCCACAATCTTCCAAGCTCATGGGTGATTCATGCAGCTGCACCAGGATATACAGGCCGCAAAGGGGTTGGCCAATTCAACGTTCTTTCCGAGTGCTATCGGAGTGCCATGAGGATGGCGGCTAACTACGAGTTCAAAACAATTGCCTTTCCTTGTCTGGGTACTGGGGGCTGCATGTTTCCTGCACGTGTCGCAGCACGTATAGCGCTACAAGAGATAAGGGAATACCTGGATTCACATCCTACACATCGACCTGAGCGAATCATCTTCTGCGTACGGGCAGCAGTCGATGAGAAGGCGTATACCGACTTTCTACCGGTATTCTTTCCACCCACACATGGAGACTTGGACAGAGCAAGAACTTCAGACTGGTCCGCGAATCGTGCTGCGCTGGCAGCTCAGGTACTAGAGGCACGTACGCAACTTCAAAATGCATTGACTGCAATCACTGTCACCTACGACTTTGGCACGCAAAGTACGGTCTGTGCTCACGACATGCGCAGGATCGACTCTACGCTGAGTTCGATCCGCAAATATCTCTTAGGGTCGAAAGAGCTCAAGCGCAGTCTGGGCGATCTCAACTTACTATGTTCCGTCATCCTTACGGCATGTGCTGACATTATGGATATGGCCGAGCGAGCACGTAAACAGGGCCGTGCTGGAAATACGCAGTCTATCTGGACCGAAGCCAACACCGATATACGAGCCAAGCATGGATTCGAGCTTACGAGTGTCTTTGACTACAGCTGGATCTTCGCCAACAGCTTAGAAGAGGTCCTGATACTTGGCAAAGCAGAACCAGATGCGATGGGAAGAGCGCGTCAGATCTTGGAGACCTATGGTGTCAAGCAGAAGGGCCAAGATGCCGAAGGTATCCGCGACCACCTGGATGAGGTGCTGTACGTCCGTGAGGCTGAACGTCCTACCCCCAAAGTTCGCGGACTCATCCAAATTCATCAAATACCCCCGGTAGCGAGGCTCTACATACTGGGCCAACTGGAAGCGAAGCCTACAATGGCGAAACCCTCCACTCTATTCAACCACACTGTGTGCCTACTGAGAGAGGACATCACGAGGCTGGAAGTCGACATCGTGGTAAACTCAACCGATCCAAGCTTCTCCGGCATGGGCACTCTAGATCGGAGCATCTTCAAGAAAGGAGGCGATGAACTGCGCTCGGAAGTTTCGGCTTTCGGCAAATGTGAAGAAGGCGACGTCAAAGCAACTGCTGGATACCTTCTCCCAGCCAAACATATCCTCCATGTCGTTCCGCCTGGAGTGTTCAGGAGCGATACCAAGAACATTTTGAGGAATATCTACCGGGCAATCCTGCATGATGCTGTACTCATGAGGGCGACTTCCATTGCGATACCGAGTATCGGAACCGGCATGCGGAATTACCCGCGGCGCGACTGCGCGTCATTGGCCATGGAGGAAGTGAAGCGCTTTTTGGAATCTGCTGAGCCGGGTAATGGGCTTGATAAGATTATATTCGTGGTCTTCTCTTCCAATGACGAGTTCGTCTACAAGAGCCTTTTGCCGGTCTACTTTCCGCCAACGAAAGGTAATACATCGCCTACTATCTTGGCGCAACAGCCCGCGCGGGTCGAAGAAAGTTCTTCTTCATCATTACCGGTTCTCACGGATCAGCCCTCTCTGCCGGTTGCTGGAACGGAGGCCTCCCCCAAGGTGGCCTCTGCCGTCGACTTCGCAATGACGGGAATTATGGGCCAAGCCGCGGCCAACACCGAGGTCAGATCCGGCAAGCAGCCAGTAAAGTCACGGGCCTGGAATGACGATGAAGCCAAAACTTTGATGGACTTCGAGCTACATGTTGGAACTTGCAAAGTTTGCAAAAACGGCCTCCATGAGAGAACCCACCGACTGTGCGAGCCCGGCTCCCATTTGGCCGAAGCAGTCCTGCAGCGAACGGAGATGTCTGAAGATGCAATCTTGTACAGCAAAGCGGACAAGCAGGGCCAAAGGGAGCAACTGGAGATACCGATGGAACAATTGCTGCCCCGTTCCATGCTGTTAATCTCCACTGTTGCAAAAGGCGGACGTTATATGTGTGAGAATACAACTGCTCAGGTTGAGAAGACTGATATGGCCAATCTCGATAAGCTCATCTCTTCCGACTCGTCCTTCAAGTCCCACGACGAGTCTTCAGAAGCGAAACACCAGCGCTCTGACGTTGAGAAGAAGATAGAGAGTCATCGTCAAGAAATCCGCGACCAGATATCCCAGCTCCCTGACTCACAGAAAATGAAGGACCTGGTTTATCAACAACTCAGCGACGAGGTCGTCGCGGCGATACGCCTGCGCTCAGGTGACCCCGATGTCTTGCAGGCTACAGAACAACCTGCAGTAATCCGGGTGGAGATCAAACTCCCATCTGTCAATACTGAAACCTGGGCATACTCTTGGGTTCGAGTCTCCAGGAGTAAGATTGAGATGTATCCTGGGGATTATCAACCTGATCCATACGGAAAGTCCATTGAAGATGCCCCGGATGCATCGATAGATCTCATGGAGACCGTCACAGAATTGACCCGCGACCATACCACGGCAGTATCTTTATGGACAGCAGAGCGAAGATCAGAATTGCAAGCAAGATGGCAGTTCCGCAGTTCTGACGCTGCTGATTCAACCGCGCTTTTTGAACTTTTTAAGCGAGCCCTCGATCGTAGTCGCCAGGAGCGGGAAAAGAATGTGTTAGCTGAGATTGAAGAGGCAACAAGCCCGGAACCAGCGATTGCCGCAGAAAGCGGACGGGATGTCCTTGGAGATCCGTTTGTTGACGTCAACAAGCCGGATGCAGCGAAGTTGGAAGACCAAACACAGACGGAAGACATGGCCACATGCTCTTCGAAAGCCGAGGATGCGAATGTTGTTGCACCAGATGCGGGGCCACGTGCTGTGATCCGTGTCGAGGCTCGCGCTTCGCGCGGAGCTTCCGACTGGACGAACGCCATTCTATACGTTTATGAGGGCAAGATTGTTGTGGAATTCGAGAAGAAAGATGGCCCAGACCAGCCATATGCGACAATAGACCTCACGAATGGTCTTCCACATCTGGGCCGCGAAGGTAGTGGTCCTGAAATCGACCACGTGAATATGGCGTGTCTACAGGTGGCAAGAAGGGGAGAATGGGAAAAGCCATGGTTTTTACCAAGGGAGACATGGTATTTTCGCAGCCACGGAGAGTCTGATACAGACGCCATGTTCAATGTCCTCCAGGAAGCCGTCGATCGCAATAAGAAAGTGGGGAAGAGAATAGTGTCCACTGATGTCGAAGGAATGACAAGCCCGGGACCAACGACTGCGCCAATTGCACAACGCGAGGAAACTAGAGAAGCTTTCGATGCATTGTCTTTTCCTGAATGGAGAAAATGGTTGCGCGACATCAAAGATCAAGTAGATGACAAACACCGCACCGACGAAGACACAGATCCACAGCACGTCGCGCACGTAGACCCTACATCCACTTCCAGTGGTGTGTCAAACAATTCTGAGCAGGATCAAGGAGAGTCTACGCTGGAGATGCAGATTCTTACTCACCTCGACGAAGACCTTAAGACACGACCTGGCTCGTACATAGGTCAACGTATCGAGGACATAGCTGCAGCCTTTAAGCCACACTACCCGACTTTCATCGCTTATGTTCTGCGAAACCTCGCTACTCAGGGGAAGGTTCATAACACTGTGGATACCAATACGTGGGTCATCTCGAAACCGGGCACTGAGTATACTGGGCCCAAGCTATCGAAAGCGCTAGGCTATGAAGTTGAAGATGCTCTAGCCTATGAGGTTTTGCTATGCATAAAGCGCGTGGGAAAAGGGATGACCATTCCGAGTCTGGCTTCCGAACTTCAGATGCCCACGTTAGTGATCTCGCCTGTCATTCAGCGACTAACCGCGAAGGGGCTAGTGTCCGTACAATCTGATGGAGAGCGGTGGCTTCTGACCACGCAGGGCAGCTCCATAGCACATCAGTTGAAGTACACGTTGGAAAAAGCGAAACAAGAGCTCGCCCAGAACGCCAAACCCGCTGACTCCGATGAGGATGCTTCCAACAAACTCTCTGATCGCGCTTTGTCGTATCTAAGAAGCTTACCTGGAATGAGCGGGAACATTTCGGATCTCGCGAATACTTTCGATACTCCGGTGGCTGAGCTTCAACCAGTGCTTGAACAGTTGGGCTCTGATGGTTTGGTGGAGAATACCGAGAATAGGTCTAATTGGACCGCGATACTTCCGACAGGCCTTGTTCCAGGTACTCGAAATTCTCGTCCACGATCGACTCAGGCAGACGCAGACATATATATCTCTACTAGTCGTGATGGAGGCTAGAACAAGTATCTATGCACGCACTGGCAAAAGGAAGGTCATCCTTTAAATTACGACTACGTCGATGAAAAGGATCTGCTGTGCGCTCATTGCATGGGCAATCTATATTCGTCCCAAGCTGGACTTCAAGCGGCGAAACGGGAAGATGCACTCGTGGAGAACGTTACACCTGTTAATGACGCTTCGACGACGCACATTCAGCCGACCGGTTCAGAATCTGCATTCATGGACGCTGCAATTACCAGCGGACAGATTCATGTTTCCGAGTTCTCCAGCTATGATAATCACCCCTGGAATCACACACCTCTACCTCGGACACAAATTCCTACAAGTTTCATCGACGAACGCATTCATATAGAACAAGAGTTTAAACCCGACAAGGAAGCTGGTGTTTATTATATGGAACGCAAAATCAGACCCGAGGAAACGGTGGAATCGCTCAGGCGGACGAAAGAGCTACATAAAAGGACTCCCAGATCCGGCAGGAACCTCCAGAAGAGACTCAATCCGTGTTTGCCGAACGAGGCAGCGATTCAGGGGAAGACTTGCAGACAGGGCGGTCAGATCGTGATGAGTTTGTAGAGAGCGTTGACAACAGCACAAAGGCAAGTATTTTCGCCAGGATGAACGAGTTACAGCTCGAAGAAGACACTTCAGAAGACGAGGAAAGAGAACGCAGATATTTGGAAAAGAAGAAACGATGGTCCGCGGGCATATTCAAGCGCAGCCACAGTCAGGCCCGAAGCGTCGATGGAGATAGCAGCCACTCCGATGGCGAGCCTCTTGATTCTGAGATCGCTCCAACCACGAAGCCAGAGCACGAGAGTATGGCACCGAAGGAAGAACAACCAACAAGAGAATTTGCCAGCGCAAGTCAAGCTAGCAGTTGGAGAGATGGCAGGGGCGCAAAGGAGAGGAGAGAAACGAAGTCCAACAAAGCATTAGCTGATGACATCCGAGAAGACACGGAACCAGGCACAGCGAGTAGGTTGAGACGAATGAAGAGTGCAAGGGAAAGGAAGCACATTGCATCGAGCAAGGCAAAGAAGGACGGCATTGATGACGAGTTGGAGGACTACGATGGACAAGAGGAAGACTTTGTGTAACTAGAGTGAGATATATTTCGAAAGCGCGGCCGGGCCATTCGGATAAATTATGACATCTCCTTCGCTGTCGATATGAAGTGCATTCAGATCTCGCAAACGTAGTGTTGATGTGACGAATCGCCTAGTTCACACTATACGTTCAATGAGCATGTACCTCACACCCCAGCTTCACTCCTCACAAACAGCAACACCGGCCTCCCCCTCCGCAATAGCCCCCATGAAATCCCCCACATCCTCCCCCCGCTCCCCAAGCACAAACTCCAACGTCGCAACCCACGTCTCCCCATTATTCGTAAACCAATCATACTCAGGACACAAGCTGCGCACGTAGCCCTCCACCATGCCCTTCAGCGGAGCATGTTCCTTCAAGTAAAGTATCTGAGCAGGATCAAGCTTCATGTAGTCCTCGATAACGTAGTAATGTGGGATATCGTCGCCCCAGCCTTCAGCCCCGACTTCGTGGGAGGGGTGGAGCGAGTATTTGGATGCGGCGTAGCGGGAGGTGTAGGTGGGTGTGTTGTTGAAGTGGGTGGCGAGGGGGTTTGGCGTGAAAGGGTTGAAGGCTTGGGGCACGGTGGGTGGGTAGTTGAGGTGGATGTTGAAGAGCAGGGAGTGCTCGTTGCCCGGGTGTCGTTTCTTGAACTTTCGGGCAATGGTGCCGTTGGAGGGGCAGACGTTGCTTTGTACGACTTCGCGGATGACGCTATGGACGTCGGCGATTTCGGCGAGTTCCCAGGTGCTCCAGTTGTGGAGGAGGGCTGCGCGCTTGAGTAGGACGAGGCGGGACGCGCGGGCTTCACGTGGGTGGTCGCTGTTGTGGAAGGCGCGGGAGTAGAGCCAGATTCTATAGATGGCTCGTCTCACGAGATAGCGCTCGTCTGTTGTCAAGAGACGCCGGCTTTCGAAGTTGTGCTTCCACTTCTTGAACGGGTAGATGTCGCACCATTTCTCAGCTGTGCGCCCATGCTGCACGATCTGCTTGAGCAACGCGAGGGAGAAAGGAACGGAGCGGACGATGTGCGCAGGTTGGCTTTTGTTGTGGGTGAGGAGTTGAGTGAGGTCTTCTAGCGGACCGAACTGCGTTTCAGCGGCCTTTTCGAGTATGGGTAGTTTCTGGGAGGAAGAATAGATGTTGCGGAAACGACGGCAGGTGGCAGATAGAGCTGTCACGTCGTTGACTGAACGGCATGATAAGAACACCTGCACAACAAGCTCCGTTGCGAGGTCTTCGAACAGCATCTTGAAGGTGGTTGTAGGGTAGGGGAGCGATTTGGTGGCTGCATTTCCAGTCAATAAGAGACCCATGTGATAAATGCCATATAGCACGATAGTATGAATGGAACTCACCTGTAATCTTTCAAGTTTACGCGTGTCTTCAGCCCACGGTAGGTGCTGAGTTGTCTCCTGTGATAGTGATGCGGATTTGAATCAATCTCTTCTTCTCTTCACTATCCTTCGACCTCAATCTCGTATATCGATCTATCGATCTAATCGGTGCGTAGCTATCTCGCCTCTACACCGACACGTATCGCGTGGTTCAAACAAATCGGACCCCTCCGTTGGGGCTATAGGTAGAAAACGCGACGACATTCTGGAAAGACATGGTGCAAGTCAATGCAAGCTCTGGCGAGCTGTCTCTGGAATGGAAGGTCATCGTTAGTGGTTGGGGAGAGGGAAAGGAGTCACCAGTCGTGACGACCGTGGACGTGATGGATGCCGCCAAGGGGGGCTAACCCGGATTGTGGGGGCCAATCGGCGTGGAGACGGGACAGTACCGATGGCGTCAATGAGCAGCGCCAGGCATGCCACACGAAGACGCGCATATCTTCACAACGTGCAATTGCAGGTCCAATGCCACGAGATAACGAGCGCACAATGCAGCACTCCACAGAAACCACACCCTCCCAGCTGTCCCCGCTCCTCCGCCTCCCAATCGAGCTCCGCCGCCTAATCTACAGCCACGTCCTCCCCCACACCACCACCTTCGAAGTGCGTTTCCAGCACCCTCCCGACCCACCCCCAAAGTCCGAATACAATCTGACCTTTGTGCGGCAGAAGAACGGCGACGGGGGCTGGCGCATGCAACGCACACTACCACGCACAGAGCGCGAGACAGGCAACGACATAGTCTGGCGGCGCGGGCACACGAGCCTCCTCGCCGTGTCGCGATACGTCCACGAGGAAGCTGCAGACATGCTATACGGAGACAATACCTTTGTGATTGACGTGACGTTCGACGCGATCAACTTTCGGTATCGATGGCGCACGGCGAATAATCTTACGCCGAACCGGACGTATCCGTTCTTGGATCACTTCTCGCAGAGGAATCTGCTGAGGATCAGGAATTATGTTGTTAATGTTGAGTCTGTGGATGATTATACGGGGATGATCAAGTATAATTGCGGGGGCAGAGGCTTGCCGGCTGGCATAAAGAGTAAAGTACGGGAGCTGGTTGATCTGTTGGCTGTTGCGCCGCAGATATATCGGCTGCAGGTGCATCTGATAGATGGCGCGATTAGTCGCGTGAGGTTTCCCAGTGGACGGGTACATCGTGTGCAGGACGAGAGTAACTATGCGCAGACACAGCTAGTGCTTGATCCTTTTAGGGCTGTATATGGAGTCAGGCAGGCAGTTGTTAGTGGTGTTGATGATGAGTATAAAGAAGCCCTGGAGAAGAGCATGACTGCCGACAAGACACACTGATATCGTCAAAGGACAAGTAGTACTTGGGTCAACGGTCGCTCGCAATGAGCTACCCATTAAACGATAGCTTTTGGGTATATCGCTATACATACATACGGGCCTGTGCCCAGCCCAGAATCGACGCCAATCTAAATAAGACGATGCATTCCATAAACGCCATTTTTCCTTTCCTCGAAACATGGCAAACAGTTTTACGCGAACAGCACATTGTCGCTGAGCGGGTCCTTCTCTTTCCTGACTCCACCGTGCGATGTCAAACCCAGGTCCTGGTGCTTGAGCAGGGTATCCCTCTGCGCGTCGGTCCTCTTGTTGAACCTGCCAGCCTTTGATTTCCTCAAGTCGGAACGGATCTGGTTGGGCGAAACGAACTCCTTGTTTTCGTAGATAATTGGACCTCCGAAGCTGGACTCCTGGATAACAATGGGAGTGAGGACGAAACGGGGACCGATTTCGACTAGGTTGACATCGAATTCGCTTCCTTTCTTCTTCTTAGGCGCCTCATCGACGTCCATCTCCTCGCCATCCGCAGGCTTCTTCTTGCTGGTCTCGCTCTCGTTGATTTGGAACACGCGGATCCAGATCTTGCCGTCTGCGACTGTGAAACCCATCACGTGGTCTACGAAAGGCTTAACCTTTCGGCTCGTCTTGGGGACGCCGAAAATCTGGGTGAAGAGCTCCTTGATCACGCGGAGATGAGCCTGCTTGTCAAACGCGGCGTCGAAAGAGAGAACTGGTCGCGATCCTTTCAGGCAGTTGCCAATGAAGTTGAGCTCTTCCATGGTGTGCAAGTTTTGCAGGTGCATCTTTACAGTAGGACCGTTTGGTGGCTTGGACATCCAGCAGTAAAGATCCTTGCCCTTGCGAGCTTCGAAGAAGAGGACATTGTTGCAGTTGTAAAGTTCTGCTAGTTCGTTGAGTTGGTAAAGCTTGGTCTTGGTGTCAAGTTTGGCCTCTTTCCGGCTATGGGGCCTTTCAAGATATCAGTAAACGAAGTTGTCTGATCGCGCAGACCACTCACATCAACGAGTACAAGTCCTGTAGCAAATGTCGGTGACGGAAAGTAACACCTCTTGAACTCTAGCAATCATCAGCATGGGTCTCGGTTTGCGCCGCGCGTGGATTCGTACCAGAATAAGGACACGCTGCTTGTTTCTCTGCACGCCCGTTTCCTTCTCCTCTTTCTCCGCGCCGGACAGGGTCTTGTATACGGAAGCCATGGTGATTTCAGGCGGTTGTTGCTGCGCTCGTCGGGGTGGATGCGCCTCTGCAAAAAAGTTCGAGAATTGATGCCGCCCAGAGTTTTAGCGCGATCTACGCTTGGGCCGCGCTACGACCGAAAGAGCTAGAGCGGATGGAGTCTTCGCGGCATGGTCGCGCCTTCCGTCACCGTCGTGGTGAGACTTCATCCAATGGGCGTTTGCAGCCCCAACATTCTGCCCTGCTCGCTTTTGTGCCTGCGTGTTGGCATTGTCGCGTGCACGAGAGACTTGGTGGAAATGGCAGTATATACAGAGTCAGCCACCGGATGGAGAGGAAATGAGACGCGCACGTCCGCCGTGGTCCAGAGGCTCGTGGTAGATTAGCCGAAGCTGGCAACGCCTCAACCCGGCACGCGGAGCAGCGACGAGTTGTAGGTGCTGAGAAGGGAAATAAGAAATGCTCAGGCGGCGGCAGCGAGTAGCAGCAGAGTGCCGGAATCGAGGACACTCAGGCAGACCGGCACAGACGAGAAGCGGCTGCACGCTGCATGGCGCCGTTTGCATGCACGCAATTATTGGTCGATGCACCCATCTGGGCGTGTATGCTCCTACGAGAGATGGGGTTCAGGTGCTTTGTTAAGAGGCACGCCCAGCAGCGCAGCAGCGTCGCAATGAAGGTCCCCACGCGTAATGCGGCCATGCCAGACATGCTCGACGCAGTCCGCAGCCCGCCGTGTCACATGTTGCGAGCGTGTAGGGCGTCGCAGGCTCTCCATCAAACCTCATCGCGGCTCTGCATCACGCCCGGAGCTGCTCCAGGACAGAGTTGCCGCAGCCGCACTAAGCAGAAGCTGACTTGCCAACCGTTCGTGTGTGATCTAGACGGCGCTCAAGCAGCTCCACACCAGCCCCCATCCCATCTTCCCTCTTCCATCTCGTCGTCGCATCCACATCGCCAATCGCCCGACGACCATCGCCGGCAGCCCTCGCCCACGGCGCATTCCCTCTGCTGTCGTCGCCGCGCTCCCTGCGCGCCCCACCGCCAGTGCCTGCTGCTTGCGGCCCATGGAGCAGCCTCTCCGCCGTTAACAAGCCCTTACGCGCTGCCGTCATGTTTCGCGATCCGGTCCTGCGGCGGTCCGTCGATGATGGGGAGGAGCACTCGCGAGGAGAAAGAAAGCCGCCAGGGCACCAAGGGGAACCTACGCCAGTGCCAGCAGCTTACCACAGATCGCCGACACAGGCAGGCCAACCATACCAACACCATTCGCCAAACACTCCAGCGCCCTTGCCTCTCCACCACGCCAGCCTTCACCACCCCCCATCCCATCAACACCCTCGCCCTCCGCCGTCGCCCAGCACCACCGAGCTGCCGCCCATCAGCACGGCCCTCTATTCGCGCGACACGTCCAGATACTACGACCCGACTTCAGACAATGGAGACCGCGGCGTAGCACGGGACCCGGCGCGTTACGACATCAATACCCAGTATCCTCCTGCACAGGTGCGTCTTCCATCATATGTTTCATCTACCTCATGCCTCAGACATCACACTTCACGCCATCGCCATCCTCAGCATTCAGGGACACGCGGCTAACCCACACCCCAGACGCAGACTCGGGCGGCACACAGCCCCTACGACAAGGTCTATCAATCACCCGTCACGACCTCGTACGCGCATCACTCGCCGCTGCAGCGCCCCCATTCGCAGCACCAGCACACCGGCACTATGGAGGCCATGTCTCACTCGCCCGTGTCGCCATCGGTTTATCAGTCGATGAATCGAGGCGCCGTGCAGCCGCCCATCGACTACCCTAGGAGGCCATCCTACAAGGAAGAGGTAAGTGAACTCGCGACTTCCACTCTCACTCTGCTCACCACTGCAACAGGCGCCGCCACCAACGCGTGCCGATCCCATGTCGCTCTCCAGTATAATGTCCTCCGGAGCCGACAACGAGCCTCCGCCAAAGCCTCAGCCACTGCCGAACCTCGCCGCCGAACCTTACCAAACCTCAAAACCTCAGCACAATTCTCATTTCGTGAAGCAAGAAGCAATGGCGTCTCCGGCGCCCGCTGACCTTCCCCATCAGGAAAATGGCTATGCCCCCCGCGTGTACGATGCTATGCCGCCGGTCGGCAGCCTCCATGCCCCTTCACAGTCTGCGACTCGCGAGTTGCCTGCGCCAGACGAAGCAGAGATCGAGGCTGCTCTCGCACACATCGAAACCAAGCAGATGAGCGACATTGACGAGTCGGCCATCCCACACGATCTCGAAGACTACAAGCAAAGGAGCCAGAAGCGCGTCCTAGAAGTTGGAACCGCCGAGGCGAACAAGCGCAAGAAGCGGCGGACTGCTTTCCTTACACGTTACCAGGACGTGTCCGCTGCCAACCGCGACTACGCGAAGCACTCATACAACGTTGAGCACGAGGGCGACGCATGGCAGCAGGTCCAGAGCCAGGAGATCGCTGAAGAGAAGGAGCGCAAGAAGGACATGCAGCGCAAGCGAAGGCGTGAAAAGACTATCCAGAACGAGGAAGCTAAACGCGCCGAGGCCCTCGCAAAGGCAGGTCAAGCCGAGAACGAGGAAGAAAAGGAGCGTCACTTGCTGGCTGCACAGAAAGCCGAGCGGAAAGCGAAGACTACTACTCAGCTTCTGCAAGGCAATGCCCCTAGCAAGGACATCCGCGAAGTCACTCCACACGGACCCAATATGGAAGGAGGTACCATGAGCTCCTTCCAGGCCTCCGACGACCTCGCTGGCGGAAAGCGCAAGGGCAACCGCGGCACCGGGCGTCTTAAGAAGAGCAAGGAGCAAAAGCAGGCTGAGAAGGACGCTGCCGCTGCCGGCCAGGCTGCTATCGACCGCGGAGACGATCTCCCCATGATCGCGCCGCGCGAGGAGGCACGCCTTGACTCCCTACGCGGCCGTAGCTACACAGAGGATTTGGGCCCCGTAGTCCTGACTTCCTACGACTCGTCCGTATACCGAAACCTATACCAGCAGATTGTGAAGGATCTCGCTCGCAAGGATGTTCCCAAGGTTGTCCGCATCAAGGAGAACTCGCTCTCGACAAAGCAGTCCAACCTTCGCAAGACTGCCCAACTGGCTGCCAAGGAGGCCCGTCGATGGCAGATGCGCACCAACAAGAATCAGAAGGACACACAAGCTAGGGCCAAGCGTGGTATGCGTGAGATGCTTGCATTCTGGAAGAGGAACGAACGCGATGAGCGTGAGTCCCGAAAGAACGCTGAGCGTCAAGAGTTGGAGAACGCGAAGAAGGCTGAGGCTGATCGAGAAGCAAACCGACAGAAGCGGAAGCTCAACTTCCTTATTTCCCAAACTGAGCTCTACTCGCATTTCATCGGCAAGAAAGCTAGGACAGATGAGATTGAGCGTTCCACCGACGACGCCGACGCTGCCGCAGCTGACCCTCAGGCAGCAGCTAAGCCTAGTATCGACGTTGGGGAGATGTCGGCGGAAGGAGGCGCCAAGGTCACCAACTTCGAGGATCTTGACTTCGACAACGAGGACGAAAGTGCGCTCAACGCGGCCGCCATGGCGAACGCCCAGCATGCTATCCAGCAGGCTCAAGACCGTGCCCGTGCCTTCAACAAGTCTGGTGATGACGAAGAGGATGGCGAGATGAACTTCCAAAACCCCTCTGGTCTGCAGAACAAAGAAGACTGGATTCCTCAACCTGGCCTTCTCAACTGTACGCTCAAGGAGTACCAACTGAAGGGTCTCAACTGGTTGGTCAACTTGTACGAGCAGGGTATCAACGGTATTCTTGCTGATG